AGCGCCCACAAGCCGGCCCTAATCCCCGGGGCAGCGCCCGGCACCGTCCCGCCCCCGCCGGCCGTAGGACCCGCCTTCCATTGGACCCTGGAGCTGTCAGTCCGCCCCCAAAAGGCGCGCGGGCTGTAGCTCTGCTCCACGGGATTGGTAGCCTCGCGCTGTCCATGCAAATAAGGCCCCGCCCCCGTCTATTTGCACCTCCGCCTTAGTGTAACCTCCGCCTCTTCACGCCAGCCCACGTGTCTGGCCCTAGTCCTTTGTGGGGGCGGGAGGGAAGGGATGGAGGAAACTGACCGACCCTCCCACCCCCACCCACACCCCCGCCACCCACACACCATCCCTTACCTCCAGAGAAAGTAATGCCAGAACAAGCTAGTTGACTTCACATTCGAATAGTCTTTCTGAAAGCTCTGCCCTCCTATCTGTCCATCCGCCCTGCCCAGAGGATGGAGAGGGGTAGGCCAGGTTGTTGTGTCAGATAAGCAGGCTAGGTTACCCCCAGGAAACAACCCCAGGAAGTCAACGTTGCCCAGTTGGACTGGGCCTGGGGAAAATCCCATCTCGAGAACCAATTTAGCACACAGCGCTTCCCTCGGGGCACTCTGTGAAGACTATGCTTTCCCATGGCTTTCTACCTTTCAAGCATGAGATCCCAGACAATTGAGACAGCAAAGGATCATAAAAATGTTTGTGTTCTCTATCACCACTCTTCCCCCAAAGGGTAGGCCTGCTGAGCAGCTCAGCTTCATGAGGGGCCTAGGATTTCCTGGGCATTGAGGAATAGCTCAATCCTTTCATTCCTTGAGGAAACATAAACCCATACCTAGCGCATCATAGTTACCTATGAAAACTATTGTTTCATAGCCAGATTAGAAGCCACATCTCCTAAGCTCCAAATCCGCTCTCTGCACTGTACCACATTGGTCATTTAGGTATTTATGAAAAGCCACTTCTACAAATCATCTTGTCTTGGAGAGGTGGTATCTGTAGAAAAGACAATTGGAGCCACCACTGAAACTGCCTCAAGGGCCAGAGCCCTGCCTTGGTGCATAGATGCTTCCCTTTTTATCAGGAAGAGTCACTGAAACAATTTATTCATACATTAATTCAGCAAGATAATGGTGATTAAAAACACCAATTAATTAAGTATCTACTATGTTCACTAACAGCAGATTTTAAGCACTGTTCTATGTACAGGATATGCAGAGGTGAGAAGACATTGTCCCAACCCATCAGGGCTCCAGCCTAGGAGACAGCGACATCCACATTGCATGACAGTGCTTTTCATGTTACAGGCACTGTGACAAATGTCTGCATAGGGCACAGTGGAAGGCTCCAATGAGGGAGGAATCAGCTCTTCCTGGAAGAGGCAAGGAAGGCCTCATTGAAGAGGTGACACTACAGCTGAGTCTTAAAAGATGAAGCCTTAAAAGGTTGTGTTTACCAGAGAGGGATGTGGAAGAAAGAGGAAAGGGACTCCCAGGTAGGGATGGGGTGAGGGTCAGGGTAGAGATAGCATGAGCAAAAAGAATGCAGACCTGGAAAGGCTTAGTCATTGAGGGAACAGCAAGGAGCGGTGTGGGCAAATCCGCAGGGCTGTGTAGCCATGTCATATGCTCTGGAACCAGGCTCTTCCAAGGGGAAGACGGGCCCGAGAGGCTGCCAGGCTGTGTTGTAACACACCGCAGCAAACAACAACAGGCCCTGTACATACAGCTGCAGACTTTTTTTTAATAAGCCAGTCTGTGGAGAACAGTCAGTTCCAGTTCCAATGGCAGCCTGGCTGGCCCCACCCACTCTCAGAAAACCACTCTGGTCACTGCACTTGCCCTCCTCAGCATTTGCATTTGGAAACACGTGTGCTTGCAATTTCCCTAAATATTGCTACCCTTCAGAATTCAAAGATAATGTGGGCCACTGCAGCAGACACCTGGGTGTGGGCTGAGCAGCCTTTTCCTAAAGCACAGAGCAGTTCTTTGCAGGGCTTGCCACTGAGGCTGGCTTTGTGGACATGTGAACTGTGCTTGACTTAATGCTCTGTTGTCACTATCTTGAAATTCTTAGTCATTTTTCAGCAAGGGGCCCTGCATTTTCATTTTGCGCTGGGACCTGCAAATTATGTAGTCAGTCCCTGTCACTGTTAGGTGCCCCTGGAATGCTTGTGATAGTATTCAAACCACATCTCACTTCAAAAGCACTTGGCATTCACTAGGTTTATTCACATGTATTATATCACTTGATTCTCACAATAACAATGTGGGATAGGCCAGTATTTACTGGTCCCATTTATTAGTTGAGAAAACTGAAGTTGGACAAATTTCTCCAGGTGGCATAGCTAGGAAGTAGCAGAAGTTGTACTTGAACTCAGCACACCCAAGCCCTATTCCATCTGCTAAGGAGCTACCTCCATGTTGGTTTCAGAATCCTTTCAAAGGCAGATTTGTACATGAAGAATGTACTGTTTTAAGAGTCAGAACATATGGTGGAGGGCATATCTGTCATTTCATGGCTTCCTATCACCTTTTGAATAGTTTTTCATCAATTTGAAAAATTATTAGCCCTTACATGTTCAAATACTGTTTCTGTACCTTTTCCTCTTTCCTTCTGGGCCCCCAATTAAAACACGTTAGACCTTCCACTCTATCCCTTTCTTCTGTATTTTCTATCTTTAGTCCTTCCGTGCTTTGTTCTAAAAGTCTTTTCACTATTTTTCAGTTCACTAATTCTCTCTTCGGCTTTTTTTTAAAAAGTCTATTAAACCCATATGTTGAGCTCTTAAATTTGGTTATTCTATTTATTTTATTTTATTTTATTTTATTTTTAGTTCTAGAAATTCTATTTGGATCTTTTTCAGATCTGCAATGTCTCTTCTTATATCTCTCAGTGCCCTGCTATAATTTTCAAGCTTGGCTTTCTCTTCATAAGCATAGTAAGTATAGTTATTTTATGGTCTGTGTCTGTTAATTGCAATCTGGAGGCCCTATAGGTCAACTTCTGTTGTCAGTTTTTACTACTGGTTCTTCCTCATGTTGTTTTATCTCCTCATGTACCTGGTTATGTTTTGGACATGGCATTTTAAAAATTTACAGCAACGATGATAATATCTTCCTCTGGAAAGAATTTCCATTTGTTTCCTCAGGCACCTGAGGACACTAACAAGATAGGATCATCTTAAATCAATTTTAGGACTTCTGATTACTGAGTCTCCCAGATGCCTTGAAGCTGGATTTATATAGTCTATGGGAGGGTTTGTTTATTTATCGTTCCCACTTACTCGATGCTGCGGTTCTTTGAAGTCCCAGAAGAAGATAGGGAGTGTTTTTAGTTATATATTGTTCCATAGCAAACTATCCCAAAATTCAGTGGTTTAGAGCAGATGTCGGTGGACTGTGTCTGAAAGAACCAGATAGTAAATATTTTAGGCTTATAGGCCATATGGTCTCTGTCACGACTATTCAACTCTGTCATTATAATACAAAACATCCAGGGACAATACATAAATGAATGGCATGGCTGTGTTCCAATAAAACTTTATTTACAAAAACAGGCAGCAATCTTCAAACTGATAAAGGGCATCTATGAAAACCCACAATGAATATTATACTTAATGGTGAAAGATTGGGTATTTACCCCAGAAAACAAGATAAGGAACAAGACAATGATTTCTACTTTTGCCACTT